AGCGTATTGCTATCAGGCAGGGAAAAAAAAATCCGAGCGCTATCACGTTATAACGTGATAGTATCTCGTTAAAACGTGATAATTATCTTGTTAAAACGTGATATGTATCTCGTTAAAACGTGATACGTATCTTGTTTTAACGTGATACTATCACGTTAAAACGTGATACGTATCACGTTTTAACAAGATACGTATCACGTTATAACGTGATAGCGTTAATACTATCACGTTAAAACGTGATACGTATCACGTTTTAACAAGATACGTATCACGTTATAACGTGATAGCGCTCGGATTTTTTTTTTCCTGCCTGATAGCAACACGCTTCCGTAAGATACGTATCACGTTTTAACAAGATAATTATCACGTTTTAACAAGATACGTATCACGTTATAACGTGATAGCGCTCGGATTTTTTTTTTCCTGCCTGATAGCAACACGCTTCCGTACAACCCTACTAAATAGTGTAAAGTTTAGGGGATAGAGTATCTGTCAGATGACTCTTTGCTTCTGAAGCTCCTTCTTCTAAATGTATGTAGTCCTTTTTCAAACTAGCCTCCAACAGTTCCAGTCCTGTGAGATACTGGCTTAACACTCATAACTCTTAGAAAATCTATAGAACAATTTAGTCTGGCAAGGCCAAACACTATTCTGTTTGCCAACATGTCAATGTAAGTCATTAAGCCTAAAGGCCCTTTCAACTTATGCCAACTTAAACATTTTAAAGACATCTATGTTGAAGACTGAATTGAAAAAACTCAACAGGAAGCTTCTTTTCAGCGTGTACATAATGTAATTCTAACAAATCAATGAAATATATAACTTTTATTAGCAATTTAGACAAAAATGTTTCATAAGTTGGCATAAGTTGTCTAATGTGACAGGGCTTTAAATGTTGCAGAGGCAGCAAACAGCCAGAGCAGTACCAGTGCAGCCAGTGACTGCTGCAGAGCTGACTACACAGATGGGACATTACCTCTGAACAAAACAGTTCTGAGTTGTCTGACGTCTGTTCTCTTTTCAATCAATCAGTTCTTCCTACTTTAAGACAGATGAGAGGAAGCAGTGCTACAGATACATCATTGTTTTCACGCTGCAGCAGCAGGCCATGATGAATCCCAAGCTTGCTGAGAGGTCAGAGCAAAGAAGCTTTCTTTACCCCTTGGGCACCACTCAATCCCCCTGCCCCTTTAATAGAAACACCCATGCATGACAGTAAGGAGTTTCAGTTTGCCTCGGACAGTCTTGAAGGAGCAGATGGGATTATAACCCAGGAAAGAGGGGAGACGTCACTGTTATGTGACCACCTGGCTGTGACAGAGCTGCTCCTGGATCAGCTCGTTGTTACCAAAGCCTAGCACTTTCTGGCACACTGATAAAAAAGTTGTATTATTTTAAAGAAAATAAAAAACTAAAAGCAAACATGATTTTTAAAGCAAAAACAACAAAAAGGCATATTAAAGATATTTTTAGATTGGTATTGTGGAATTGAACGGTTGATAAAAATTTTAAAAAATCACTACTGAGGACTTGAATTAAAGTTTCTATACTGGTCTCATCTCAACTCTTTAGATTCTAAGGCTAGGTTCACACTGCAGGTCTTAATACTCAGTTCCGATTTTTTGAAAAAATTTTATCTTTTTGTGTGAACGTTCACATTACATTTTAAATGTGACCTGCATCAGACCCCTGTGTGAACGCTACACAGCACTGATGTGACACGCATGCGCAGTAAAAGACGTGACGTCTCATCAGCCGGCTTGTTTGTTTACAGAGCTAGCATGGATGCTACATTTTGCACATCGAATCGGAAGTTGTTGTTCAATCAAATAATTATCTTTCCTGCTTGTTTAGTTCAGTGTTTATATCTGAAGCTGCCTCTGACCGGGATGCTCCAGTGAAGCTTTTAATATTTGAAACGAAGCAACGAGCTGGAAATAAAGTATTGACTGAGTAACTTTAGGATCGATACTCTCCGCGACCCAGGCTGGACATCGTTATTATCATACTAATGAAAAG